CAAAGTAGGTTGCATGTGAACTTAGGAATTGTTTTTCTAGTTTATTTGTTTTACCTAAAACCCATCAATGACTTCAAAGATGATCAAAAATGGCCAACCGGCGGTTTGTAGCCAGCTTGATGTCGGAAAATAAACTTTCGAGTGAAATTTCTTTTGATTCCATTAACAATTGGACCCAAATGGTTTTCTTACATGTTCAAAATAATCTCTTCATAGGGAAAATCTCACCAGAGATTGGTCTCTTGTCAAATCTGAGTGTTCTCTTTCTGTATCATAAGAACTTCACAGGCCCTATTCATATAGAGATTGGGAACTTAGAGAATCTTAGGAGTTTGGATCTTTCAAACAATCAGATATCAGGTTCAATACCTTACATGATTGGAAACTTGGTTAACCTTGAAGATATGAATCTCAATGGGACAATTCCACTTGAGTAGGTATGGACATTCTCGACACGAACTGCGACACGACACGAAATAAACAGGTTTGGGTTGAGTTTTTCAACCCGCCAACCCGTTTATTAAACATGTTATATATGGGTTTCTCAAAAAATATATGGGCTGACCCGCCAACCCATTTAAAATTTTAATAAAAAAATGTTATGTATTTTTTAAATTTATTAAGACTTAAGTATTATACAGTTTATACACTACAATAGGATGTCATTGACCATTTGACCTGTGCAACACGTTTGTCATTTGGCGTTTGTATTAGTGTTTTAGTTTGAACATGTTTCTATGAATGTTTTTAATTTTCATTTGGATATTTAAGACTTAAGTGTCTAAAATTCAGATATGTTTGCATCAATATTTTATTCATGTTTAATTATCATGGAATCTGACCCACGAACCCGCCAACCCGTGAACCTGTATAAAAGTGGGTTGACGAGTCATATATGGATTTATGCTCCAAACCCGCCAACCTGTAACTTGTATAGTTAAATGGGCCGTGTTCGAGTTGGTGTATTTTGACCCGCCAACCCAAACACGACACGCTTTCCAGGCCTACACTGGAGATTGGAAACTTGACTTCTTGGGTCAAACTTGACCTGAACACCAACCGGCTGAGTGGAGCGTTGCTAACACTCTCTCTAAACTTTCTAATTTGGTGGTTCTTTCGCATTTTAGAAATGGTCCTAAGGGGGAGAGAACTGTAACGCCCGTGTTTCTAGCTAAGCATTAGTATAATGATGTAGTAGTCAGGGTCAACCATTGTAACTCATTTTGAAGAAATAAAGAGGAATTATGTGAATATTATGTGAATTATGTGCTTATATACTTGTTTATAACGATATAATAAATTAAGAATAAAAATAAACATCAAAAATAAAATAATAGATAAACCCGATATCTATGAAGAAATTTTTAGTGGTCGTGACAAGGATCCCGAAAATATAAAGAACGCCGAAATCCGAGTTATAACGAAGAAGTTATGACCCGTCGAAGTTTTACAGCTAAACCGACACGACACCGCGTAACGTAAAAAGTTAATTTTTGATAAAATACTTTTTATCCTTAGAGATCTAAATGAAAGTTGTAGTATACGTTAAACCGAGAGCGTGCATAAAAAGAACGCCAAAATCTGACTTCGTATGAGGAAGTTATAATTTTTTCTAAGATTTGGCATAGCAGTGCACAACCCGAAATTCGAATTTTAGATCAATCAATTTTTGAACCTAAATGAGAATTGAAAATGTGATTAATAGGAGCTCAACGATAAAAAGACAGACGGAAACGGAGTCGGTATGTAGAAGTTATGAATTTTACACAAACATTTAACAGTGTAATCTTCTCATACTGTTAAATTTTAAATCGGTTGAGAATTAGCCGACGAAGTCAAAAGGAGAGTTATAGATCTTGTCCATACCTACGCGTGGATATAAAGAACGTCAAAAACGGAGCTCGTACGTGAAAGTTACGGAGTTTAGAAGCCGGCAGGGTGCTGCTGCGAAGGGGGTGACGTGGCTGAATCTGGGCCATTGCTTTCTCCCCAAGTCTTGCTACCAGATGGTGACATGTGGCACCAAGTTGAGCCATATTTCAGCCTATAAATAAAACCCCTTCTATCCTCATTTCTTCACACCTCCACCCTCCTCTCTCTCTCTCTCTCTAACTTATCTCTAGAATCCCAAAACCTCTCTAAATCCCTAGTAACCTCAAGGTGCTAGAGGAAAGCCCCGGAGCGCCCGAAGGCTCTGAGAAAAAGAGTTTTTCGGCTCAGAATCTCTGCTCCAGCGGAGCCCGGTTTTTTAGCAAAACCCGCTGTAAGTGAGATACGCCTCCCCTACTTTAAATATAACTTATATTTAAATATAATATCGTTATTATGAACCTATAAATAAGATTTATCAGTGATTCAAAGTCGTTATACTGATTGATATACTTACGGGGATGATGTCTAGGTTGTGATTTAGTGAGGTGTTTAAAGTGGGATTTCCAAACAGTACACTTCGTATACCAAACGGACCCTACCTCCGATATGATCC